CCCCCCCGAGCACCTCGCCGGCCAGCCAAGCACCGCGCCTCCCCCCGAAGCGCCTCGCCGGGCCGGGCAAACCCCCGGAGCGCCGCGCCACCCAAACCCCGCCCCTCCCCCCCGAGCGCCGCGCCGCCCAAACCCCCGGAGCGCCGGGCCGTGCCGCCGAATCCCCTGCCTCCCCCCCCAGCACCGCCAAAACACCCCCCGCACTGCCCGGCTGAAACAAAACAAAAAACACCGCGAGTGCCCCCCGCCACACCAACATTGGCCGCCCCTTCTAAGGTGCCACCCCAAGCACGTGCTTGGTCGGCTGGTGCCTGGAGCCGGCCCTGCATTTGAGACAAACTGGTGGATTTGACTGAAGTGTGAGAAAAACCCCTGAACGTGTTATAAGACTCTTTTGCAACTTTGACTGCTATAAAATGTCAGAGTATTGATTACATTTCTTATAGCATCAAGAAAGTTACAGGAGGAAGAGAGTAACGACTAACACATAAACGTCCCTAAGCATAAGTAATCTGCAATAACTGAGGTCCCAGTACTACAATCAGCCACTTGGATCCATGTTTCTTCAGCTAGCAGCACTTGGAAAAACCTCCCAAAAGTCTAAGGCCATGGAAAGACTATACATCCCTTGGGCTCATATTAAGTTTTCATAGCTTAATGGGTAGCTCTCAGAAATCTCATCTTTCCTTCCTGATCTGCACACACTTATCTTTGCAGTGCTCCATTCCTTATCAGATGACCGTGCAGCCAAAGATTGTCTATTAGACCTCAAAACCATCATCTTATACCGCCTGTGTGTGAAAGTGTTCTGGCCTCAGCATTGCTGCAGGTTGTGCATGCGTAACAGGAAAAAATATATAATTTTTATTTTTTATATATATATATATATATATACATACATACATACATACATACACACACACACACACACTTATTTATATTTCCTTTCAAGTGACAGGTCCATTCCCCAGGCCCATGCCATTTGCTACACTTACCACTTTTTCCTTAGAACGCAGAACACCAAGCTTCCCAAATCGGACATGGAAAGGAGAACACTGGTATGTACCATCCTGCTGCCGAACCACAATTACATCGATGCATCCTGAAAGAGTGGCCTGGTTAATGCCTTTATATAGCTCTTTCACAGTAACTAGAACTTGTCCTGCAAGCTGTCCCACGTAATTCATAGTCTGAGACTGAAAGAAAAAAAAAAAAAATTAAGTCAGATATTTGTACCAAATTTCATCTTGCAATGTCATTTAATTGTCAACGAGTCTGTTTACTATAAGCCACATGATTAGCATAAGTCTTTTTACAGGCACTCCACTGACTGAACTTTGAACTCCTCCACAAAATAGAATGACAGTTTTCACATAGATATCAAAATGAACCTATATTAAAGAATTTAAGCTAACCTATGAAAAACTATTTAAAAACTATTTTAAAAGACAGACTTCTAATTTATGTTGTTTTCAATTCTGAAGGCCTAGATTCAAGTCCTGCTTAGCTTCCCAATGGAACCCATTGTGGCTGTTTCATTCTCAGAGGACTGCCTACATAAAAATCTTAATATTTTTAATACAATTGTTCAGACAATCTTTACTGAAGACAACAATGTCACAGGTCAACACCACAACATATTGACAGAACTGTATGGAGAAGCTTCTGGTACCTCCACAATGTCTGGTTCTTCCTTCATTTTCACCACACTAATTTATAAACAAAGTTAAAAAAATTATAAGAGTATGAAAGTTACTTACATTCAGTGACTTACTTGGAGACAAAGTGATGTAGAACAAAAGTGAAACAAAACCAAGGAAGACAGATAAGAAGTGTAGTCCTCCTCCGACACAAGATTAAACAACTGCCTTCTGAAGCAGGAACTGTATGTATTTGCTAGTAAAGTCACCACACATATGCAGTGTCAAGACTTCTCTCAACATAAAACATTCAATGTATCAAATCCTTTCCAGAGCTTTTAGGAAAAGTGCTGCCACTCATCTGCAGCAGCAACCACAGAGTGCAATAAGAAAGATTTCTACCTGAAATAAAGGGACAAGCAGCACCACTCTAAAGCAGTTTACACAGATGCCTCAATTCACTTTTAAATAGAAAAAAGTTACAACAGAAGACCAGGCATTGTAGCTAGACGTGACAACATACTTTTGACAGTTAAAAATTGCTTGCTGGAGACAATATATCTGAATTAAAAATAGATGAAGATATAACATGTTCAGAGAAACATCAACATCCAGCTACCAACATTATTAATATAAGGCTTGAAAAACCCACTCACCAGGGACAAGTAGGCAACTTTTCTGGTGACTGCTCTCAACTTCTACGGAACCTAAGCTTTTATTTAAAAAATGAATTTCCATCCCTTAAGTTTATGAAGATAGCCTTTCATACACAAAGAGTGTAAACTGATTCACTATTACCTTCCTAAGCCTGCAGACAAATATCCAATCCCTCAGCTACTTTCCATAGCTTTCACACAATTTCAGCCCAATGAAAACAGACCTATTCTTTCTATTTTCACTGTTCTCATTCACAGGGCCGGCTCCAGGCACCAAGCACCCAAGCTGGTGCTTGGGGCGGCACCTGGAGGGGGGCGGCGCGGCGCTCTGGCTGCCGGGGGGAGAGCCTAGCCGAGCCCCCGCCGGGGCTCGCGGCCCTGCCCCCGGCGCTCTGGCCGCCGGGGGAGGGGGGGGGGGAAGAGCCGAGCAATTGTAATAAGCTATGTGTCCTTGCCCCTCCCTCCCTGTGTTATCAGGCCCTTACCTGATTATCATTGCTACTCATTGCTGTCTCTGTTCAGTGTTTGTTAGCATAATAAAAATGCATGAATTGAGTACAAGAGGCTCTTTATTCACTGTGCACACTGTGGTTGGTGGGGGTTTAGTTTACAGGGCAGTACATGCGAAAAAGGGGGCAGGTTGGTAAGGAGCAACACACAGAACTGTCACATCAGTGTTGGATCATTCATGAAATTGGTTTTCAAAGCCTCTCGGAGATGCAGTGCGCCTCGATGTGCTCTACCTATTGCCCTGGTGTCTGGCTGCTCATAATTGGCAGCCAGGCGATCTGCCTCAACCCCCCACCCAGGCAGAAACTTTTCCCCCTTAACTTTCACAGATATTATGTAGAGCACAGCAAGCAGCAACAACAATAGGAATATTGCTTTTGCTGAGGTCTAACCTAGTGAGTAAATTGCGCCAGCGCCCCTTTAGACATCCAAAGGCACATTCTATCACTATTCTGCACTTGCTCAGCCTCTGGTTGAACTGCTCCTTACTGCTGTCCAGGCTGCCAGAGTACGGCTTCATGAGCCACGGGAGCAAAGGGTAGGCTGGGTCTCCAAGGATAACTATTGGCATTTCAATATCACCAATGGTAATTTTCTGGTCTGGGAAGAAAGTTCCTTCTTGCAGCTTTCTGAAGAGACTGGAGTTCCTAAAGACGCGCACATCATGTACCTTTCCCGACCATCCCACGTTGATGTCAGTGAAACGGCCCCTGTGATCCACTAGTGCTTGCAACACCATTGAGAAGTAGCCCTTCTGGTTTATGTACTCTTTGGCAAGGTGGTCTGGTGCCAAGATAGGGATGCGCGTTCCGTCTATCGCCCCACCAGAGTTAGGGAACCCCATCGCAGCAAAGCCATCCACTATGTCCTGCACGTTTCCCAGAATCACTACCCTTCTTAGCAGAAGTGAATTGATTGCCCTGGCTACCTGGATCACAGCAGCCCCCACGGTAGATTTACCCACTCCAAACTGAATCCCGATTGACAGGTAGCAATCTGGCGTTGCAGGCTTTCACAGGGCTATCGCCTTTTCAACTGACAGAGCAGGTCTCATTTTGGTATTTCTGCACTTCAGGGCTGGAGAAAACAATTTACAAAGTTCCATGAATGTGGCCTTAAGCATTCGAAAGTTATGCAGCCACTGCTCCTCATCCCATACCTGCATCACAATGTGGTCCCACCAGTCTGTCCTTGTTTCCCTAGCCCAGAAGGGGCATTCCACTGTGTCAACAAGCCTGGCTGCCGCTGCCAGTATGTGCAAATTGCTCCATTCCATGGCTTCCATCACAGCTATTTGTGTGGCATCACATTCTTCCGCGAGGCTGTTCCTGGCTATGCTCTGCAAATATCGCAGGACGACGCGCGAGGTGTTTGTGACGCTCACAACAACAGCGTATAGCTGAGCTGGGTCCATGCTTGCTGTGCTATGGCGTCTGCACAAGTAACCCAGGCTTAGGCGTGAAAATGATTGTTTGCTGTTGCTTTCAGGAAGGGAGGGAGGAGCCAAGAGCATCATGGGAGGCTGACGATATGTACCAAAACACTTCACGAAAATGTTTTTGTCCCATCAGACATTGGGAGCCTAACCCAGAATACCAATCGGGAGCAGGAACTGTGGGATAGCTGCCCACAGTGCATCACTCTGAGTCGATGCTACCCATGGTAGTGGGGATGCGCTCTGCCGACGGAATGTACATAGTGGGGACATACACCATCGATTTTGTAAAATTGGAGGCTACAGATCAACTGTAATAAATTCAACCTAATTTTGTAGTTGTAGACAAGCCGTAAGAAGCAGGGGGGGGGGGAAGGGGGTAGAGAGAGATGCAAACGCACAGCAGCATGACAGAATTATGGAGACCAACATGCAGCTGCAATAAAGAAGCTTGTGGGATCTCTTCTAGAAATTAGCATTTTTGCTACCTTACTGTAGCAATAACAGCAGAATTATGTTTACAAAACAGCAGATGTAACACTGGAGGTCATGAAGAACATTTATCAAAATTGAAAGCCATTCAACTATCTTAGTTATATATGAATTGTCCAGTTTGTTTTTTAAATAAGTTGCAAATCAGGTATTTAAGTTTCAAGTGCAAAAAAGAGACTACATTTTAGAAGTCAGGCTCTTAAGAAGAGATTATTTGGGGTAATGAAAACTACCGGTAGTTATTTTAGTAGATCCAAATTGGGACATGAAATTGATCAAGTAGGGGGGCAAACACCACTACATACCTAAGAATGTATAGCTGCCCGGAGTCTCAATATGTCAAGAGGACCACAGGTTTTCTGGATCTTTTTTTTATTGTGATTTAGCCATTCAAAGAGCATTCTGGAAAGCCTAAAGTAAGTAGTACTGAATTTGACAAGTAGCAGCAATGTCATTGCTTAAATACATGCAGATGCTTCACCAGTGTGAGAGAAGCAGTTCTGACCACAGATTTAGAAATGCTACAAGGAAACTTTTGCAGTAATGTTTCCCCTCTTACTTTCAGGCTTATATGGCTAAAATCTCACATTGTCTTGACTGCAGACAGAAAAGAAAGAAACCATCTTCTTTGGAACCACCTAAAAGCAGTCTAGTTTCCATGGCTGGTATAAAAGGTGAGAGTCTGCTGGAAAAGCTGAGTTAGGCTTAATGAATGTGACAGCATTTAAAAAAAAAAAAATTATTTTAGCTTTCATTTGTCCCTGGGAATCAGAACATGCATGCTACCTGCCGCATTCAAACTCTTCCCTCTTGACTTCTGAGTAATAGCCAAAAGTTAAATTTTAGTCAATAATATAAAAATATTGCTGAGTTAACAGCAGATTTTAAAGGCCCAGCAATATTGAGGGCTCCAAAGCAGAGGGGAACTTCTTGTAACTTTTAATGCTCAAGGGGTCTTGATTTTTGAACACTTAAGTTATATGCTTGCATTTGTAAGATTCTCTATAGTTGAAAATATTCAAATATTGGTGGAGCATGCTGTGGCTCTAAGCAGGAAGAAAAAAAAATTGCATCGCCAGAAAACACTGCCCTACAGTATTCAAGGTTTTTCAGGCAAAAAGCCATGACAGAATGCAAAAAGTTGAAACTGCCTGCTCTATCTTCTATTACGACAAAGTGTAACAGTAAATACAGAACTAGGGGGAAAGTTACTTACTCTGGAAATGAAGCCACATGTTTATGAAACTAAAAATAGCTAGGTTATGTAGCATAGCTTGTTCCACGCGCAAGATACTTAATCCAATATTAACTAAATTAACTCTCCACACCCCTGTAAAATAGATTTTACAGTTCGAAGAACTGAGGCGAGTAGCTTTCACAATGGCAAATGGGACACAACCCAGGAGTTTTCAGCTCAGGCTACGTCTGATTTATTCTAGACACTAGAGGTTCAAATTACATTTTTAAAATACCTTCAGCAGGAAACTCTCAAATTTAAGGAGTTCCAAATTTAAGTTTTGAGGTCTGAGGCAGGGACCATGTCTGTCTGCCATAAAGCATGTAGCACACTTTTGAATAATGCAAAAGTAATACAATGTACATTAATATGCATTGTTTATAGTTTAGGAACTTTTAATGGAACATCTATATGCAAGCACGTGACATAACTGGAACAGCATCTACAAGAAGAGGAAAAACTTCCTGTGTATTTGTGGCATTTCTTCAGTGCAACAATGGAAAAACAATTTATCTTAATTTTTTAAAACCTAGCTCAGAGTCCTGGTGTACTCCATCTGGTTTACTAATGCAACCTTTGGTTACCTAATTGTATTGTTTGGGAAATCCAAAGTATTACACGTTGTAAGATACAACTTTTTCAATCAAATGATACACAGTTCACATTATATACACACAAGCTACTGACAGGATGTTTCCGCTACAAAGGGAATGAATCATAACTATCATGAAAAAATCATGTCAATGGAGGTCTTAATGGACAAGAGAATTAATTGTTCTATTGATTTCACATTGTATCTAGTGCAGTGTGCCTTCTGAGCTAGTAATAAAGGGTTGCTCCTTTTCATTACTACTACAGAAAAGGGAAGAATGGAAAAGAAAAAAAGAGTGTAGTCTTGATTTTCTTCAATTTACCTGGTTTTGCCCATGTAAAAATACATACTTATTATTAGGTAGGAGTTATGTTTAACTGGATAGAATTGTCATTTAGTCAAAATTTTATTAGATTTGTTCCTCATTTATAAAATTTTTATTAGTATCTTGGTCACTTTAATTAAAGAGTTTTGTACATATTTAATTACAAGATCAGCAAAACTATAACTTCAGCTATAATATTCCAACTCAAATACAGTAATTTATTTGTATTTAGTTATAATAAATAATACAGAGGACTGGCAGCTTCCAAATGGCACTTGAGAATAAAAATCCTAATTTAAAATAATGTTTTTTAAAATGTTTCATTAATTTTTACTTTATACTCCATTTTTCAGTTTGCGTATAAAAATTAATTTCTAACTAGGTCACTTCATATTCTTTATAGCAAAAGTTAACTGGATATACAGAGGTATATCTAACAAAGGAACTGGGTATGCCAAGGTATACATAGCAAAAAACAAATATACATTTTGCTCTTAAATAAACATAACAAAAAAAAGATTTAGAAGTTGCGGTTTAGCATCTAGTTATGAAAGAGAATGTGAAACCAAATCAAGTCTGCTGAAGTTCAAATTAAGGTTTTCTAAAGAGTATTGCAACTCAAAAAGAACTTGAAACTAAATGTTTTTCTGACAGATCCACTGTGACTATTAACTACTTCACTGTGCCACACAAAATGAAGTCACTATATTTATAGTAAATAAGGATATCAGGGACAGAACTCACCAAGATACCAGAAGGGATTCCTTCATGTGCAATGAGTGCATTCTTGTTTATGTCATCTTCAATATCAATCTTTTCTGAGAAATACATCTCACCAAAGAAGTTAACTTTTCACAGTACAGGTAAATACCAATCTAAAAAGCACAACATTATGTTGTACCAACTTTTTCTTCTTAAGATGGAAGCAGAATTTTACCACAAGTATTTTAAAATAGTAAGATTTTCTCCCCTGCAGTCTTTCCTTCCTGAGAGAGGTTGATGTTCAGTCTACTTTCACACGTAATGGTATGGTTAAGTAAGGAAATGGCTATTTAGAAAAAGTCACATAGAAACTCCTTCACCAATAAGATTTGCTTGAACTGTCACAACCCCCTTCCTCTGTGAGATAAGAAGTAACATGAATATACTTTAGCATATGTTTGTACCGATAGTGTAATACAAAATCATTTACCCTAAGTCACATGATATTAGATGAGACTTCCATGTAATGAAACAGGGATTTAGTTAATGATTCTTATGCTTTGTCAACACTACGCTGATTTAGATGTTTTGCCATTGTAACTACCACCTGTAGCAATGTTGTGAGCTTTAGTACAGATCGCAGCTTCCTGTGGGTACAATTATATGACACTATCAGCCATTCTACCCTGGTACTCCATCAGCGGCTAAAATCAGTGGAGTTGAACTGAAGATTTACGTTTTAAAGGAAAAAAAATCCTACTATTCAACCCAAGTCCTGGCTCACACAAAGGTTTTGTACTAATTTAACTATTTCAATTAGGGTGTGATTTTTTTTTTTACTGAAATAATTAAATTGGTACAACCCCTAGTGTGCATGAAGTTATACTGGTATAGTTTATCCCCTACAATTTATAAGAATAAGCTATACAAATTAGCACTTTTATACCAATGCAACAGTATCCACACCAGGGTGTTAATACCACTTTAACTATACCTGTATTGTGGTGGTACAACTTATGTGTTTAGACAAACCCTAAAAGTTCACCATGTACCAGAATCACTATTTCAGTAAAGGCAAAGAAAAAAAAACAACTTTTTAATCGGAGAGAGTGTAAAGCAGCACTACTTCTCTAATTAGTATCAAGGCTATATGAAATCACTGAGAAATTCAGTACAAAAACAAAGCAAATTTCTCCTCGAAGCCTAGGTGACCTTGACCACATTATGAAAAATATGAACCATCTAACATAGAACGTTAACATTTTTCTTCCACACAGCTTTCATCAATCTCGATCAACTGCAACTGAAAATAAAGAGGTTGTAACTACCACAGAAGTTTCTTTAACTTCAAATTTACATAATTGTTTCTGAGAGGTCCTACATGTTGAACCACCATCTCCATTATACCCTCCTCTAAAGTAATCAATACATTAGACTTGGATGAAGGCAAATTAGTTATTGATTGCAGCCGAATGGCCTCAAGAATCTTCTCAAGAGAACTTCTAGAGGCCACAGGTGAAGCCAATCTAGATGAATCTAAATTTTTGCCAGAAAGATATGCAGCCTTGATTACTGTCCCTCACTTGCAGTAACTACAATGAGGATGGACAAGAGCAGACTCCACTTGCCCTCAGATTTTACAGTCACCCGTCCCCCACCACTACCACCTTCATTTAAGTCAGCAACTAGGACTCTAATGTGACAATGTAATTTTTAGTCCTTTTTGAAAGCAGAACCACACTGGAGAGAGAAAAGCATGTTACTAAAAGTGAAATAATTTTGAGGTTCAGTATCTCACACTTTGCTAGTCTAGAACACATCATTCAACAAATCAAATTCCCAGTTCTCCAGGCGTACAGAGCATTAGTCCTCAGCCCTGACAGCTGGTAGGACTTTGGCCCTAGATCAGTAAGAATTCAAAACATGTAAATCCCAAACTAGAGTAATTTTTATTCACTATATGTCTGGAGTTTTTAGTGGTAAAAATACCAACCAGTTTTGAAGTTAAACCCACTAAAAGCAGCACACAACAATTCTGTAATCTTGATAGGATTAGTAGTGAACTTTGGGTACACTGAGACACCCCCCACAAAAAAAAATCCTAGTAAGGACAAGCCCCTCCCATCCCCAAGTATATTTGGGGTCTGTATTGCACATTGAGCACGGCTAGTGGTAAGGAAACCCTACTTGCAACTGACAAATGAAGTACTTGTCAAGTTTGCAGGGTGGATAAAAATCAACAATTAAAATAAAAACTGATTTTTTATTTAAATTGGATTTTTTTGATAAAATGCTTTTTGAGGGAAAAAACTGTCTAAAGATAGTTTTAATTAAGATATCTTTGAGCTATAATGTATCTCATCATGGAATAGGGATTATAAATTCTAATTATATAGTATGAGACAATATATTCATGTAATGTTCAAGAAAAGTTTTGTAAATGAGTTCCAATAGTTCATGGATTAGGGACCCAATCTTATGGGGCTCCAGGGGCTTCTGTATAGATTATTTAGGTTAATCTTTCTATCTACCCAATGGGACTCAGTGCTCAGTCTAGAATATAACCATCAGAGATACTTAGTTTTGCAGTTCTCAAACTGTAGATTTGTGTCTCCAGAGATAACATACTTGTTAACAGCAAAAATGTTTTTAAATAAATAAAATATAGAGGTGAGAAATAACAGACCTCAACCCTACTGCCCCTCTGCAAATTTGTGCACACAGAATCAATTCCTGACCTCTCTCTAAAAGTGCAAAAAGTCTCAAAAAGTTCAATGAATAGAAGATTGTTGGGGGCGGAATAGATCTGGACAAGGAGAAGAAGTCTGGAGATAAATGTGAGAAGGGAAGGACAAACAGTAGAAACAAAAGTGAAACTGTTTGAGCAGCATATACCAGAAGTCTTGAGATTTTTCTGAGTGTAACCTTCACTGATTTGAGATCTACCATACCATTCTCTCACTAGAAGGGAAAACCTATAATGGCAGCAGGCGGTAAAAGAGACCCAGTTTGGGAATAAGAACCATTCAAGAAATATATGTTTGCTGATGATGTTTTAAAGAAAGTCACACCAGTGAACTGGTGGAAGTCACTTAAGCACTTGAATTCAGAGACCGTTGAAGAGATAATCTCACTTTAAACAGCAGTAGTGTCTTCTGCCGGTGTAGAAAGAATATTTTCCTCCTTTGGACTAATTCATTTCAAATTGAGAAATTGTTTGGGACCTGAAAAAGCAGTAAAGCTTGTTTTTCTTTTCCAGATTATGAACAAACAGGAAAATGAAGGCGAAGATGTCTGAGTTAGCTGCAGAAGCCAATATTTTAAGTTTCTTGTGTTGACCTGGCTGACACAGTCGATTTAATTTTTTTTTTTAATATTTCATTTAACTATTTTACTTAAAAACAATTTTAACAAAAACAAACCTGATTTTAAAAAACTTGAATGTTTAACTAAATTCAAAAATTCAAATGCTTGTTTTGTTAAAATATGATATGTTTGCTGTTGAAGAAAAAAAATCCAGAATACATAACGTTGTTGTTTTAGATAAATGTAAATGTCTGTCTGGTGATGTTCTCCTCCTAATACAGCAAGAAAAACCTCCAAATATAAATTATTAACCTGTTGAATTAGAGATAGTTCACCTCCCAATGACTTCATAAATATCTGCTTCAATTACCTTTGGTAAATGAAATAACCGAACAATCATACATTTTCTGATATAGCTGTAAAAGTAATCTGAAAAGTTTTCAGAATAAATCTCTTTTAAAATGTATAGTGTGTACCTTCTAAAAATGAAACCTACATCTAGCTCTGAGTTGTGATGAATATGTATTAAGGTTATAACAACCAACAAGAATCCACTGTTATGTAGAAAACCATGATTAAATCGAGTCTTCCTGACTAGTGATTTAAATCATGATTTAAAACAATTTGATTTAAATCAAATCCACCCTGCAAGTTTGTATAGCACTTGGATACTACAATGACTGGCACAGAAAAGACCAGTTTTCTTTCTTACCTGTGAGGTAAAGGGGGAGTAAGAAATTAATTTTTGTATATGTTAATCTTACCTAAGTACTGCAGTTTCAAATGTGAATCTTCTCCAGTCTGCAAACAGCTTACTTGCTTCTGCTATTGCTCACAACTTTCCTGATACTTATGAAACCTAAGTTCTCCTAGCAAGAACCTTGTTAGACAAAGCCTGTTAAAGTGGGCAAAGAGACATAAGGCATAAACACACCCTAGGATATAAATGTATTCTTGCTTAAATCAAAGATAGTAACTATATAAAAAAAGACTGTGTGGCACATTCCTATGCCAGTGAAACCACTTGCTTTTCCTCTGCTTTTTCCTTCTTTATACTGGTCATGTTTTACCACAATTTTAGAGATTAAGCCACTTTATCTATAGATTGATTTTTCAGCTTCAACACCTTTGAGTAAACTTATTACTCTACCTTTTCTACACAATTTTCTGTTTTACCCATTATTTAAAGAAGTTCAGCATTCCAGTTTGACATTCAGTACTTCAACAGATCCTTTGAGCCTGGATAGCTGCTTTAGAGACCACATTTCTATACACCACTTCAGTTGCACCTACCAGAAGGCATTCATATCTCCAGGAGTGGATGGTGGGAGAAGCTTTGGATAAGAGCTACACTCTAACCTCTCAACAAGTTTCCCTGAATGTTAGTAAATTAAACAAAATGTAATTCCCTTTAGAAATAATTATAAAGTTAGCATATTTTTTCAAATAACAAAAAAAATTAAGACATTAAGGTTGCAAAGTCAAGTATGCAACAGTTAGTAAATGCCAGATTTAAGATTGCCTGCACAACCTTAATTTTGGCCACCTTGGGCATAGGCATTGTGAATAGTCTAATTACATGATCAGATAATATTTTTTTGCACAGAACTACTTCTTAATTCAGTGCACAGGAGAGTGCACTTAATGAGCAACTAATATTTTATTTTATCCATATTGTTCAAAGTGTGAAGTACACAAGGCTTGGGAACACACTATCCAAACTCTGTTCTGAAGACAGAATTAATTTCCTCATAGTCTTTTCTATGGCAGTCATTGTAGTATCCAAGTGCTATCCAACCTTTACTTTATTTTTACAATATCCATGTGAGATAAGTGAGTATTATCCCCATTTTACAGATGGGGAACTGAGGCAGAAAAAGATAAATTTATTTTCCGCTCCACTCCTCACTAATTAGGCCTGAAGTGGAGTATTGTGTCCACTTCTGGGCGCCATATTTCAGGAAAGAAGTGGACAAATTGGAGAAAGTCCAGAGAAGAGCAACAAAAATTATTAAAGGTATAGAAAACATGACCTATGATGGAAGATTGAAAAAATTGGGTTTGTTTAGTCTGGAAAACAAAAGACTGAGAGGGGACATAGTAACCATTTTCAAGTACATAAAAGGT